GCCTGACCAACATGCATCCCATGATGGTGCTGGGGGACCTGGCAGGAGGCATCACAGTCCCTGTCCCCATTATAACCACAATGGAAATTCAAAACAGTTCCAGCTAGTGAATCCCCAAACACACAACAGGCACAGACAGTTTACATCACATCCAAGCCGGTCCCTGAGATGCTACAACCATTAAAGAAAAAACCCCCGACGCTTCTGAGGCAATATTTCTCAGGCATGTTTGCTGGCATCTTGCTATCAAATCATGAGCTCCCCACAAACCTTCCTGCATTGTGGTGATGTGTCTCCCCACTTTCCCCTCCACAAACCACCTACCTTTGAGACATTAATCCTCTTTCTAGCATTTGTGGCTTCAAACCACCTGGTCCAGCTTGAATGCATGGGGCCCAGGTTTTCCGTAGAGCCGGCAAAAAAAATCCTGCCTCCATTGAAAATGTACACTTGTTCCTTCAACGCCCTTATTATTAATTGCTATTAAACTTAATTTTATTCATCATTTGTTATGCCTTAAAATTGGATGGGAAAAAAAATTCAAATTAAGCAAAGTGAAAAGATTTCAGAGATGGTACAGAAGGCTCCTGAAGGAGTTGAAGAAAACTCTCCGGAGACTGGGAATGCAGAGCTAACCCAACCTGAAAGAAAGATCTTAAGACAAAGAAATCTTGCCAAATTGATCCTTTAATTATAACATTAGTCGTTTCTTTCAAAGGCTTAGTGCAAGAGCTGGGGGTGGGGGGCAGAAAAGACTTAAAGGGAGAAAAGACTTAACATCATCAGGATGAGTGGAAGCAATTAGGAGGATTTAAATTACTCTCTTGTTTGGTACAAGGCAGATGGATTTCATTTTTCATGCCATTGTGCTCAACTTCTTGAGCTGCCAGCAGCTTCCAGAGGTCTTCTCCTTGGCAGACCCAAGGACCCAGCTTTCCTGGGTTGGGCAGCATCCCCTTCCACTCTGCACCCACTCATCTGTTGCTGCAGACCATGAATACCAGTGATTATAGCAGCTTTGCCACCCTGGAAAGGGTCTGGAAGAATGAGACCGGATAGGGGAAAGGAGTCCACCAGGGCTACAGGTCTACCTCAACAGGACGACAGATGCTGCAATGAATGGAGGAGGGCTTTACTGCAGGGGCTGAGGAAAAGAGATAGGAAAGAGTCAAAACACAGCCTGCCTGGTATTAGAAACTCCACGTGAGTCCTCAATGTTATACCTCCAAACATGGCTTATTTTTTCTCTTCACTGTTTCATCTTCTTGCTCATGGTGACAAGCTAGACATAAGCCATCATCTTGCCAGGAGGTGCAAAGCAGGCAGGACCTCTGCAGTGACTAGAATGGGTAAGCTGTAGTCATTATTGGGATGGCATTACTGCTGCTGTGGCACCATGCATTGTGGAGGGGACTGGCCAGCACAGGTCTCACCCAGTCTCTGCTGCTCTGGAAATGCAGCATGAACACACCGATCCAAATTGTTTTACATGAGAAACAACTCAACAACAACAACAACATTTGACAAAGAAAGGAGAGCAGACCTTTGCAAATCTCCAGTATAGGGCACGTGCAACTTTTGCATTCCCCTGACTCAAAGCCAACCGACCACAGGGCACTGCACGCAACGGGCCATCAGCCACAGGGTGGGAGGACGTCCCTTCCACTGCTTCCACCCATCCCACAGCAGAGACGGCTGCAGCATGCGATTCTCTCTCCGCACTACAGCAGTTCTCCCTGGGAAGAGGTGCAGAGCTGCAGGTGCACCCTGCCCCACCATAGCAAGGTGCTGGATGACACCAACCTCAGGCCACAGGACAGCAGCAGGCAACACTGCATATGAGTCCCAGCATCTTGCTGGGCTCCCAAATCCACTGGCAGCCACACGGCAGAAAATGGGGCGTTTCAGCTGATGCTTCATCCTCACTCGCTCCCACTGACTCTCTTCTGCCAGGATTATTTTAGTAGCTTGTGTAGCTTTAAAAGCTGAGCAGTCACATCTCCCTGGGCTTCATACCTGCTCTCAAAGAGGAACAGGGCCAATTTTTTTTTTCTTTCCTGCTTTCAGTTAGAATTAATCGATCCACAATTGCACCCATAGAGGTGGAAAGTTAATAGACACAGTAACAAATGCCAAAGCTCCAGAAGAACTGGCTTTCCAAGCCCCTGCCTGGAGCGACTCCATCTCTTCTTAATAGCGTTGCATGCAATTCCAGTGCATGTGTGCATGTTAGTATTTAAAGAGAAAAATCGAGGAGCCTCAGTATGATGGAAAGCATTTCTTTCCTCTCCCACATACTTTGTGCTTAGGAGCAGATGGATCCAGGCTGTTTACATCACGGAGGTCATGCCTCAGCTTAACAGTTGGAGAACTGACTGTTGGGAGAGATGCGCATCGCAACTAGAAAATTGCTAAATCTGGGCTCCGGCAAACTTCTGATGATGGCAAGTTAAACATACAAATGTCCTCCTGCAGCCTCTTCGCGTTAAGGAACAGCCTTGGGTGTTTGATTGTTTCCCCAAAGAAAACCGCTGCCGAGACAAAGCAAGGGCAGAGAGGCAGCTCTCCAGCAGCTCATGAGCGTGAACCTTGAGAAGAAGGCTGGAAATCCCAAGCGGACCTCGTTATTCGCTGGTGCAGATGGTGCAGTTTGCAAGCAACATGGGTCCAGGTTTCTGCAAGCAAGCTACCAGGGCTCGCTGCTCAGTGCTGCACCCTGAGTTAACAGAGTGACCGTGATTTCAGCTAGCTGGGCATGGCTGCCTGTCTTCCCCCAAAGCAGTGCTGTAATGCCAGGGAAAGATTTCCTTTGCATGGAGGTGTTTCCACAGAACTCATTCCCGAAGTGACCTTCTCCTCCCAGCTCAGCCCAGCCACAGGGAGTGCAGGGGGATCCAACCAGACCCTGTCTGTTCATCCAGCTCAGAGGCTGGGGGCTGCAAAGGTCACCCTTCCTCTCCTGCAGCAGAGCCAAGTGCTCTCTTCCAGCACAACAGGAGAGCGAGAAGTGTTAAAAACAATAAAAACTAAGCAAGGAAAGTGAGGAGCAAAGCCCTTCTTATTGCACTCAAGGACATACACTGTTCGCATGCAGAAGTACCTTCTGCTGCCTCGCATCACACCCCTCCGTGGCTCCAGCAGCAGCTTTGGCAAGAGGATGCTTCACAACCACCGAGGTACTACATCCACCAAGCCGCAGAGGATGTCTGTGGCCGTGGCCAGGCAGGAGGGCATTCGCGGTGGTCTTGCCATCGGATGGCAACGCCCAGCTTGCCGCCTCCGCTCACCTCACTCAGTCCTCCGGGGAGCTGAGCAGTCGCGCTTTTCCCTAGGTATCTGGCACGCCACAAGAGCATCTCCATTGCCAATTAGGCCACCCACCCACTTGCATCCTTCCCCAATACAAACCCTATCAGCAATAAACAAACAGTTGAAATGCCAGCCGGCGCCTGGGAAGAGCCCTAGACAACTGCATCCAATTCGGCGGGTGTGGGAACAGCTGCCTCGCACAGTCCCAGCGCAGACAAGCAGCGAGCACGGACCAGGGCATGGGCCGGGCATCCTACCAGCCACCCCGTGGTCATCCTGCAAATGGCTGGCTTGCAGGCCAGAGTGGTGTAACCTTGCTGTGTCCCCAGGCTGTTCTCAGCATCACACTATCACCAAAAGCCTCAGTATCCTCAAAACACACTACATTGGCACAACTCAACATTGCAATAAGAGGCTTTTCCAGTGGCCTAGCCCCAAGTTTTGTAATTTCCCTTATCTGGGCTTTTGTAGGAAAGCTCCTGCTTGACACTGACACCCAGTTGGACTCAAATCCCCAAGCTGGATGTGGCATAAGAAATGCAAAAGCCACCCAACACTGCTTGGATGTCTTCATCCTCCATAAAATCTCCTTCCCTGCAGCCTGCCCCAGAGCCCCTGGACTCAGTCAGACCCCAGACTGAGAGCTGGGGAAATTCAACCCACCAACAGACCCTGAAGCCCAGTCTGCCACTCCAGAAGCACTCCTGAAACCACCATCATCACACCTGAACTCACAGGGACACTTAGGACAGTGACAGATGTGACTGGGCCAGTCTCCACATTGATCCCTGCATCTAAGAGCTTTCCAGCTGGCCAAACCAGTGCTACAGTGGTTTTTTTTTTTTTTTTTTTTTTTTGCCATGATGTGCAATTAGGAAAAAAATTACCTGCTGCTGGGCACAGAATCTCCGCTGCCACCTGCAGCAAGGGCAGAGAGGCCCACATCCCCCTCCCAGTGTAGGAGAGGGCATGCTCTCCCCATGCACCAGCCCCTGCCAGCAGTTAAGGATGTGCTGATGCAACCACAGTTCATTGTCATGGAGACAAGGAGCCTTTTTCTCTCCAAGCCCAGCTTAATGGCTTGGATTAAAACCTCCTTTCCCCTGGGAAGAGTAGAACAGAGACAGCTGCATTATCCCTACATCCCCAGCTTGTCCACGTGCAGAGGAGGCACCCCTACCCTCACCAGTGTCCCCCCCCCCCCGCCCCCAGCCACATCCTCCCGGCCACGGCCCACACAGCATGGAGGCGCCCCGCATCACTCTCACACACGCCCCAAACCCATGCTGCCCCATGACCACCACACTCCGTCAGCCAGCAAATGCACATCCCACTACAAACACATCCCGGACACAAACTCATTTCCATAATGCCCCTCCATGTCTCTCCCCTTCAACAGGTTTCAAGCAGCCAGAAGATCAACACTGACGTTTCTCACAGGTGACCAAAGCCACAAGCTCTTAGCAAGGCAAAACAACAAGTAAGGCTGCCCCTTTCCCGGATCCCCAGGCAGGAAAGGAGCTAAGCAGAGCCGGGGAGCAATCCCTTGCTGGGGAGCAGGCAGGCATGGAGGGGATCAGGGTAACCAGCTACTGAGGTCCTGGGGGGCACAGCAGTACCAGGAGCCAGCCTTGGGGCTCAAAGACTCATGACGGGCATGGCCCAGACGAGAAGGATGGCATCTCACTTACCCTGACAGCACTCCCAGGACAAGGTTGAGGACAAAGAAGGATCCAATGATGATGAGGGGGATGAAGTACAGCCAGTTCCAGGTGGCTCCTAAGGCATCATTGGTCTGGAGGGGAAAGAAAAAACACGTGTGACATTATCTTCAACACCAGCATGCAGGGCAGAGGGAGGGTGCATTAGCTTCAGCACACTGGCAGTTCTCCCTCCAGGCTGACCACACTAGGTTCCTTGGGGCGACGTGGCCATGCCTGCTGAGACTTGATGGGCACTGGGAGCTGCCTGTGCAGGCATGCCTGCAGGGAGCTCCCAACCAGCAGCGCCCTGATGCTTCTCGGCCTCCTGCCCCAGCCACGCTCTCCTCCACAGTCTCCAGCCCTCATCGGGGAGGACCACCCTAGCAAACCTCCTCCTACCATCCCTGCAAGGACACAGGGGCTGTAAGACAGCAGTATAGTCAGAGGTATAGGGCCCTGCAGCCTGAAATTGGGTGCTGAGGGCATGGGGGCCACCTGGAGCGTGCCTCTGCCAGCAGCTTGATTCAGTGCTCCCCCGCACATCCCACCAAGACAGGACAAAGCGGATCCGCAGCAGCGGTGCCTGCCAAGCACAGCACAGGTTAAGAGGGAAAGATTTCTAAGGTGCCTTAGAACCAGGGAAGCTGGCAGGTAAGGAAGAGACAGCCAACGCTTGTCCTTCCATGCACAGTGGGAAAGGGGCTGGTGCAGACAAGGCCCACAGCTTCAAATGGGCATTTTGCTGATGGCTAATACCTTGCAGACACCCTCCCGCCTTGGGTGCGTTACCCCAGCCCCAAGGAGCTGAGAGCCGAGGGGAGCTCTACCTGCACGGCAAAGCCTGACAGCTACAAAGGCTGCTGGCAGGCCCTGCTCAATACCTCCAGACATTTATTCACTGAGGCTTTTAATAAAGCAGTGCCCCTCTGTGCCTCACAGCTGCTTCCCAGGCCCCATTTGTCCTCCGGTGTCAGGCAAGGCGCACATGACGCCGGGCTGGAGGGTGATGTGGCAGAACGTGACTGTCTGGGGGAGGTGGTATCAATCTTGTTGCAATGAAAGGCTCTTTCTCTTCTCTCTCTCTTCCCCCCTCTCCCCGTGCTAATTAAGCCCTCATCTTTGTCTGAGTCATTGGCACCACATCTCCCGGTCAGCCAGTGCAGGAGCTGAGATGAGGTTCTGCAAGGCGAGGAGCACATCTCTGATGGAGAGAGAAAGCCACCACACTGGAGTCTTCCTCCAGTGACTGAGGCGCCAGTGGGAACCTCAGCCAGGCACCCCCCCTACCCTGACACTAAGCCCAAGGCAGGACGGGTGACACCAGCAGATCCTGCTGCAGGCACCGACCACAGCACCAGGAGGGGGATGCCATGGGCACAGACCCCAATACTGAGGAGCACCTCACACACAGAAGCAATAAGGACTCTGAGGTTGGGCAAAGCAACTGGAAAGACTCACTGCCCTCTTCCTTAAGCACCAGAGAAACCACGTGCATCTTCTCAAGGTCCTGCACGTTTCAAGAGCCCCAGTCCAACACCAGCCCCGTTCCTCAAGGCCACAGGAGAAGCAGGCACAAGGAGAATTGATGCATGGGAATCCCATACAGCCAACACTCATCACTGCCCTCCAGAGACACCCAGGCCACCGTGCTCTGCTCTATGAGCACCATTTGCAATGGCATTAGTCTTCAAGGCAACGTATACCCCTCAGCCCAAGCTTGGCCAGGCTTCAGCTCCCTACCAAGATGCCATTGGGTACCTCCCACTTGTCCCAGGATTGCTCACCTTCAAAACTCGCTCCTGCCCAAAACCCACAGGCTTTCCCCAAGGTCCTTGGCACAGAGGATGCAAAACAGATGAGCTCCTTTCCTACAGGTGAACAAGACACCTTCCCACAGGGCTGGGCCACCACCACCCCTCCTTTGGCCTTCTCCTCTCCAGCAACACTCAGCAGGAGATGGAGGGGCAGACAGGGATGAGATGATGGAACAGCGGGCAGTTTCCCCAGGGTCATCAGCCAACAATACCAGCAGCAGCACCCAGACCACCTCTTCCCACTACCTTTTGTGGGCATGGCAAAGCTGGTGGCACTGAGCACCTACAGCTGGGAAACCTGAGGCAGGCACTTGGCAGCACCTGGATGGGATGGGCTGTCCATAATCCCAACCTCAATGTGCATTTGGGTACCCAGGTCCTATGGGGGTAGAGATAAAGGGGATTAGACAGATTTTAGGGGTTTTGGGGGTTTACATGTCCGGCACCACTAGCAGCCAGCAGCTCCAGAAGAGGCATTGCTGAAGCAGGGGAGGGGACAGGGAGCTGTGGCCATTGACCTTGTGTACCCAAGGACACACCACTGGCTGGAGCCCAAGGATGGCCAGCCAGCCAGGATGATGCCAGCAGCTCCAGGAATAATCCTGCTCCGGACAGACACAGAGGTCCCTTGTCCAGTGCCAGCTTTGCTGCAAGCCCCAAGCCCCAAGACAAAATTTCCCAGGGCACATCCCAATGCTCCCTACAAAACCAGGAGCTGGTGATGTCCAGCCAGGATGTGGTGGCTCCAGCCCATCATATGGAACCTGCTCAGCTTCTCCAACTGCCAAAATTTGCCCTTTTATTCCCCGAGGAGCTGTAAGAGTTGCTTCAGTACCTTTGTAGCACCCAGGCTGCAGAAGTCCCCGCCAGGGGGACAAGGGGTCTTGTTTAGGCAACACGAGGGGTTTGGCGTTTCACAGGCTCTGCATCTTCCACTGCTTCTCTACCTCGTAGCAGAGAGCATGACCTCAAAGCATCCAGTGCAGTGGGACACCAGCACACGGTACAGCATGTGTGCATACACACTCACACGCAGAAGTGGATCTATCCCCATCTCTCCACTCCCAAAGCTGAAGTACATCTGCCCAGGAAACCAAAGGAACCACCATGCCTGGCCATGTGTCCTGTCAACCCCAATGCTCTGACACATGCCATGCTCCCCAGCTGGAGGCCAGCAGGTTTATCTGGAGGGAAGATGTGGACTGCCAGGGTCTTGCAGAGTTGCTGAGTCCAGACACCCCCTTGCCCCCCCGCATCACACAATCTCCACCAGATTTTGTCAACTCTACCTTAACAACTCATTATTTCCACTGGAAGGCTCCTCAAGCAGATGCTCTAATGGCTGCTCTAATTTTCAGTCTAAATTTATTTGTGGTCATTTTATATACCACTCTGTTCTTCTGCCAGCATTGGCCTTTGGCTAAAATAGCTCTTCTTCCCATTTCCCATCCTGATGTATTTATAGATAGCAATCATGGCCATTCCCAGCCTCTGCTTTGCTAGCCAAAGCAAGGTTCCTCCAGTTCTCTCCTGCATGACTGGCTCTTTCCCCTATTTTATCTAGTAGCCCCTTCCCTGCTCCAGTCCACGCTCAGTTCATCTTCTCTGGACACAGGAGACCCAAGTGAGTGAGCCTGACAGGTCCTAATCCACCCCTGCATGATGCTACCAAGACTTTGCCACCCTGTCTGCAAACCACCTCCTCCTCCAGGGTACCACTGGCCTCTGGTCACCCTGTGCTCACTTGCTCATCCCCTCCTCTTCCACACTGTTACTTCCCAGTCAGCAAGACCTGGGCTCCTAGGAGATATCTTTGCTGTTCCTCAATAAGCACATGGCTTTCCATTTCTCACTGCATCCCACATCTCTTCCTCCAGCCCTCAGACTCCTCCAGCCCTGGGGTGGCAGCCTACATCCTCCAGCTCTGGGAAGGCAGCTGATGCTGAAAGCAGGAAAGCCCGTGACTCATCCCCAAGGAGGCCCACCGGTTGCCACTAGCCACTACGTCCCCTCAGCACCACCCAGTACCAACCCGATGCTGCTCACTTCCCTGCCAGCCTCACAGAGCTCCTCTACTCTTCACTACCCCTCTTTTCCGCTTCATTAACACTTTCCCATAGCAAAAGCTTTACTACAAAGAGCAGCTCTACATGTTTCCAGGTCTCTGATGCCAGGTTAGCCTGGCATGACCTACCTTTGGCAAACCCATGATTCATCTTCCTCTTCTGCCTTCCAAATCTGTTCCGAAATGGCATGCGATCGAGGTCAGGCTTACAGTCCTATTCCTGCCTGCCTTACTTTTTTTCCCCTCCTCCCCCCGCTTTTAAATATAGGCATTGCATTCGCTATTCTCCAGTCAGATGGTGCCTCCCCCAACTCGATGGAGTTGTTAAAAATACTTGTTACCAAACCTGCCATTTTATGTGCCAGCTCCCTCCAAGCACGGTGTCGGGGGGAGCCATCCTGAGCACTGGGCTGATGGGTGCAATGGTCTCAGTGCTTGGCTTCCACGTCAGCTGTGCTTGTGGCCATGTCCTTGCTCCCATTATCCAGCCTTTTGTTGCCTCTGTCTTTGTGTTGACCAAAAGCCAGGATGAAATATCCAATCTGCGCCTAAATGTCCCGGGCTGTCACTTCACCATGCCTTGCTTCGATCTGCAGCGGTGAGGAACCGCTCACCACCCCTTTGAGCATCCTTTGTGAGGTCTGTGTCTCACGACTTTTGGTGGCTCCCATAGCACTTCCCAACTTCTTCAGAACCAAGACATAGTTGTCTTGACTGTGCAGCCCCTTTTCCCATCCCTTTGGAGCACGATTTGATCTTAATATCTCTCCATAGGCAGTGGTTCATCTTGGTCCACTGTGCCATCCCATACATCTTTTTCCCCTTTCCTGAAGGTACCAGGAGGTTGTCACATGCAGAAGTCAAGGTAGACATGAGGAGTTTAATGCCCAAATTAAACGAATGCTGTAACTTGTCTAATGAAGAAATTCCTGGCTCCTGCCCCTGGCTCCCAGTGCAGCGGACCAGCTCCCATTGCTCACCAAAGCCCTTCGGGAAATGGAGGAGCTGCCTGACGCCTGATCTTTGATGCTTCTTTCCTTCTGTTTAAGGCAATCACCTTTTCGTTACGCACCCCACCACCAGACTAAACCACCACCACTCGACTAAACCACCACCACCCAAACTCTCCCATGGCCACCAGACCAAGAAACACCTGAGACACCAACAGAACCAATGTGGACTTGCTGGTGAAGACTAAAGAGCCACAGCTTCC